ATCACTGCACACACACACACACATACCCACAGACTTCTCTGCCTACAATGGGGAAAAAAGACAACACTGACACATTCAGTCACACTCAGAGTGTGACGCCAGACACAGACACCTGCTGTAGTACAAAGCAGCTACTCTCACAGCAGTCTGGATGTGCCCGTTTACACACCACCTCTGACGTCACTATTACACACTATCAGTGAGCACAACAGCTCCACAATGACAAAATGAGACAACTTTTAGGGTTTACTTACATCTACTAAAAAGAAGTGTTGTGTCTACATGGAATCACATATGACATAGACATACCCATGATTTATCAACTATAAATAGACAACTATTTATAGTCATACAGTAGCTATAATAATAGCACAACAGATTTTTTTATTCTTTGAATTTTATTTTTGATGTTTTTGATATAGCGAAAACTACTGATGAAATAAAAAAAAAAAAAATCCTGTTCTTTGTGTTTTTTAGTAAGCTGGCAAGTTAACATCTCAGCATAGTAAAGCAGCTGTTGCCCCAATGAGACTATAATAATATAATATGATTATAACATAATATATTATAACATAACATAACATAAAAGTTGTGAATGTGAGAGGAAAAAACAGCAAGATACAAGAAAAAAAAGTCATGTGAGATCAGGAAGCGCCTCCACATCACTTTAATTGGTTGATTATCCTGTCAATTACAAAAAGTCAGCCTATCATGTTTGCAACCATTTAGAAAGTCCACGAGTGTTTGTTTGTTTGTTTTTTCGAGTTAGCTAACGTTTTGAAAACTACCCTCTTAGCATTGTAGCTTAGCCAATTAGCATACTAGCTTAGCCTATACCTGTTTATGCAATGTTAAATCATATGTTACACACAATTATGTGTTTTTGTTTGATCAGGAATTACAAACGGCTACCCCATGGACAACAGGAAGACCCAGCTGTTTGACACAGGCGGCACAAGCAATAGCGGACCACTGGATGCAGCATGTGATATGACAAAATTGAGAAAATGTAACTTAATGCAAATGCATAGTGACTCGTTGGGAGTGAAGCACAGGAGCTCACATGATCTATTTGCTTTGAGGTGCTGTAATTGAGTTCATTTTACTGTTCTATACAGTATGTTTTCACTGTTTTATATCATTTGACTCTACAGCAATATTAAAAAAAAAAAAAAAATCCAGTTTCAATATTAGAACAATAAAAGTGTTTGTACAACCAATGGTAGGTTAGATGAGTGTCCAAAAAAGACATTCTTTTGAAAAGTTTTTTTTTTCCAATTCACATTGTTACATACATTTTTACAGAACTTTCTGAAATAGCACCCCTTACTTAACGACAATTACAAAAATGCCTTTTTTTTCAATAAATAGATAAATAATAAAAAGAAAATAAATAAATAGAAAATGTAACTATATATTTTTTTCTCTCTCTCTCTCTGTCTGTCTGTGTGTGTGTGTGTGTGACTAATATTTACAAATGAGACTTAGTGCCGGCATTTATGCCTTCACAGTGAGCATGGGAAAGACAAAATCAATGCTAAAAATGAAACAAAAAGCACTGACAAAATTCTCCTAATTGTCTGTCTCACTCTACTAGTCTCAGTGATTTTCTTTTAAAATATTTTGACATTTAATTGCATATTGCAGAGCAGAAATTGTAACATTTTGCTAATGTTGTGAACTCTCTGTAGCATCAAATCTCAATTTTTATCAACTTTGCAGAAAATGTCAGCTGCTGAAATTTATTAGCATATATTCCTTCATGCTCCAAATGAAAAAATATGAATGAACGTGGGGGTACCCAGATCGGGCTGAAAGGGCACTTTAGTGTCTGCGATTAAAGGGGCAGGGGCTCGATTCAACCAAACCCCCGCCACCCTGTGCAACTGAGCAACTGCATCTTAACTCTGTGATCTATATGAAGCTCCAGGAAGAAAGAAAAGGGAGAAAGAATGATGCAGCAGGACTGGAAGAGGGGAAGAGAAAAACCATTAAAGCATCTTAAGTGAATAAGACTCCCATCTATATTTCATAACACCAAACAGCCACTAACATCAGACATCAGCAGTAGGCTGGCAAGACTTCAAAACTTTAGCTGTGGAATGATCCAGAGTTCAACTTCTGCCTACTAGATACATAACAGTATTCAATGAACATGGACAACGGAAACCTATGTCCCATTTGGGCAATAATTGCTTTATGATGGTTTACTTTGGACTGATCCAACAAGGGCAGTAATAATTCTGTTTTTATATTGCTCAAGGGATCTATGGCTTTTTTCTAGTGTGACCTCAGAGTGGAATTATGCAACTTTTTGGTAGTAAAACAGGTTAAATAAAGGTGTTTAAATCCATTCTGCAGAATATATTTTGTTGATAAATCCCTTTATGATTGCTTAATGAGCAAACAAAGTCAAATAATCCAATAATGAACTGTACCAAGTTGAAAGCAGGGGAACAGTGATGGTCCAAGCGTGTGGGCTGGACTGAATAAATGAACAAAGGAATGTGGATTATTGACTGTTAACACATTGCAGCTCACATTTTAACAAAAGGTCAAGGGCACGGAATATTTCGAGGATATTTGGCATAACATCCTGCACTGAAATATAACGCAGATGGGCACAAACCCAAGATCACTGGCACAATTGGTACGAGAGTGCTGTACGATGTATTTTAAGCCCACATTTCAATCGGAGTATTGAGTGGAGCACAAGGTAATGCCCAGAGTAAAAGCCCCACTGATGACAACAAGAGCGATCATATTCCACACACTCTGTCTGAATGAATGGATGGCTTTGGGGGGAGGGAGCAAGAGAGAGAGGTAGAGATTGAGAGGAAAGGGAGGGCTGAGGTGAGGGAGTTCAATGAAATCAGTGGATTTTTGGAGTGATACAAGACAGGCCAAGAATAATGGAACTGCACCAGCCACGAAAATTATGATGCTGCATTTGACTACTCCAATTGGAGGGTCCAAAAGTCTGAGACCGCTATTGAAAAAGCTTCTATTTTGATTAATTTTTTTTATTAATGAAAATGCTGTCATTAATTATCTTATCAGCATATCATTTAAGAGAAATGTTAGTGCAACAAACTTAATTTTGAGAAAATGTGCATGAATTTTAAAATGTCCTAATATTTGGTTTGTCCTTGTAGCCTTTAATGACAATTTCAAGCTGTCTGAACTCCACAAGTTTATTCACATGGTCAATGTCTCACACTTACTTTCATTTGATTAGTGACTTGCATGATCTTAACCCTGATATATGATCTTAAACATTTAATTTATTTAAATTAATTACATTTGTACTAAAAACCATAATAAAATGTTAAATGTTGTTTCAGTGATCTGAAAAAAATCTAATTTATTTTACGCCATTACATTCATATAGTTTATAGTTTGTTTTTTTTTTACAAAAAAAAAATATTTTATTTTATTATATTTTTATTTTGATATTTAAATGTTTTGTTTATTTGTGGATTTAAATTACATTTTAAAACCCAAATTTTTAAGTGGTCTCAATCCAGACCCCACTGAATGTTCTTATACAATTATTTTGAATGATTCAATTAGATTTTAAATACCAGCTCTTCGAGAGTAGACTGTAATATTATATTTAGTTTATTTTTAGATTTTAAAAATGAATTTAAATCACATATTTTGAACAGTGTTCTCAGACTGGACTCCACTGTAATTTTTCACTGCCATAAACTATAACCAACCTGTACACATTCATTGGTGTGAAAAAGATCCCACCACACACCCCCTACCAAGGTCATACAAACCAGCTGTACATTTGATAAAATACAATGGAAACGGCTGAGGTAGCCTTTACACACCAGCACAGCCAACAGGGTCAGGGGGACACAGAGGCCGTCCTATTCTCAGCCTGTCTATCTACAGTAATTACCATTAGAGGCAAGAGCACCAGTGTGGCCACCACAATTCTCCATCAATATGACCCAGTCATGGCTGCCACGCTAAATGTTTAGTGATCTGCAAAGTAGCAAAAATGCCTAAATTGGAGGTTTGAAAGCAGATATACGTTTGGTTATACATATATCATTTTTTGGCCTTGAACTTATGACGTTTGGAAAATATTTTAAACTTTCTAAATGTACAGACAGTGACAAATTACTGTTGCCTGACAACAGTAAAAAACAGTAAAAAAAAATTTTGTATTATCATTTAAATTAATTGTGTGTGTGTAACATCACAAATAAACATGTCAATTAATTCTTCAAATTTAAATAAAAGTTTCATGCTGTAACAATTCAAACATGCTTTGTTTGACTGAACAGCCAACCATTAGTACATTAGAGCACCACGTTCACGTTCACACAGTCCTCCAGCACATGTGAATAAGGTCCATTACAGCCGGACCACAGGCGAGTGGGATATGCAGGGACAATTCCTGTGACATGCACTACACCTAGCAAGCCGGCATGTTATAGTGATCCCATCTCTTTCAAAACAGCCTATTCAGCTGCTGTGACTCTAATTGGAGAGAATCCTCAACCATTGTCTCGAGCGCATTATATCATGCCTGTCTTTGCCTTTGTTATAGTGATCCCATCTCTTTCAAAACAGCCTATTCAGCTGCTGTGACTCTAATTGGAGAGAATCCTCAACCACTGTCTCGAGCGCATTATATCATGCCTGTCTTTGCCTTTCTCTCTCTCCTCTCTCTTTCCTTTCTCTCTGTCAGTGTCTTCAATTGATCTGTGCACCTTTTCCCTGTATGAAATATGAAAGATTATCAACAGTTCCCAAGAATCTACATGCATTCATTCATTAATTCATTCAAGCATTCATTCATTCATTCACACATTCATTGATCTCTGTTACTACAGCAATACCTTTCACATCTGTTGGAAGTTTCCTTTCACTAAAGAGGCATTTCCCAATCACCTTGAGAATGGTGCACAAAGAATACTGCACTTCCACAAGTCAGACACAATGACTGTTGCATTGTATTGTGCATGCTGTCTTATACTCACTGTTCACTGTGCGATATCAATGACAGCTGCAATCTAAGCGCGAGCGCACAGCTGCTCCAATCATCCGATTCACTACAAGGAAGCTTCACTGGCCAAAATCAGCACTGGTCCGGCGAAACCCACATGAATATCCACCGCTGGCATCTTCAGAAACGCGATACTGTCCCGTATATCGATGACATTTTGATTTCCAGATATGTCCATTAGTAATAAAATGGCACGTTAAGGATTCAGCGGCGAGAGCAGCGGTGGTTGGTAGAGACCATTGTTCGAGAAAAGAGGGGGAGTTCGCTTCTGTCTTAAAGTTGCAGCTGTGCGATTTCCCAACAAATAGTATGCTCTCCATAGGTTTCTGTGTTTACACATGGAAATGATTTGTTTGTTTTATTTTTAAGCGAATAACATTTAGGAATAATTCAAATATTTAGGAAACGCAGTCTTCATTAGGTTACCCGACTCCACTAGAACATACCTGCATAAAAATATAAACATAAAAACGCTTAGGGCAAAAGTGAATGTTTCAGTGCGTGTTCGCATCAAATATTTACGGACAAGTCGGCAAATGTTAAAATGGTTTCGGTTCACAAACACAAAACTTTAGATTCTCGACCGCAGGGAACAAAATTATAGTCAATATTATACTATTAATACAATACAATACAATACAAATAGACACTATTGACAGAATTATTGGATAGATAGGTAGATAGATAGGTAGGTAGGTAGGTAGGTGCCACGAAAATTATGATGCTGCATTTGACTACTCCAATTGGAGGGTCCAAAAGTCTGAGACCGCTATTGAAAAAGCTTCTATTTTGATTAATTTTTTTTATTAATGAAAATGCTGTCATTAATTATCTTATCAGCATATCATTTAAGAGAAATGTTAGTGCAACAAACTTAATTTTGAGAAAATGTGCATGAATTTTAAAATGTCCTAATATTTGGTTTGTCCTTGTAGCCTTTAATGACAATTTCAAGCTGTCTGAACTCCACAAGTTTATTCACATGGTCAATGTCTCACACTTACTTTCATTTGATTAGTGACTTGCATGATCTTAACCCTGATATATGATCTTAAACATTTAATTTATTTAAATTAATTACATTTGTACTAAAAACCATAATAAAATGTTAAATGTTGTTTCAGTGATCTGAAAAAAATCTAATTTATTTTACGCCATTACATTCATATAGTTTATAGTTTGTTTTTTTTTTACAAAAAAAAAATATTTTATTTTATTATATTTTTATTTTGATATTTAAATGTTTTGTTTATTTGTGGATTTAAATTACATTTTAAAACCCAAATTTTTAAGTGGTCTCAATCCAGACCCCACTGAATGTTCTTATACAATTATTTTGAATGATTCAATTAGATTTTAAATACCAGCTCTTCGAGAGTAGACTGTAATATTATATTTAGTTTATTTTTAGATTTTAAAAATGAATTTAAATCACATATTTTGAACAGTGTTCTCAGACTGGACTCCACTGTAATTTTTCACTGCCATAAACTATAACCAACCTGTACACATTCATTGGTGTGAAAAAGATCCCACCACACACCCCCTACCAAGGTCATACAAACCAGCTGTACATTTGATAAAATACAATGGAAACGGCTGAGGTAGCCTTTACACACCAGCACAGCCAACAGGGTCAGGGGGACACAGAGGCCGTCCTATTCTCAGCCTGTCTATCTACAGTAATTACCATTAGAGGCAAGAGCACCAGTGTGGCCACCACAATTCTCCATCAATATGACCCAGTCATGGCTGCCACGCTAAATGTTTAGTGATCTGCAAAGTAGCAAAAATGCCTAAATTGGAGGTTTGAAAGCAGATATACGTTTGGTTATACATATATCATTTTTTGGCCTTGAACTTATGACGTTTGGAAAATATTTTAAACTTTCTAAATGTACAGACAGTGACAAATTACTGTTGCCTGACAACAGTAAAAAACAGTAAAAAAAATTTTTGTATTATCATTTAAATTAATTGTGTGTGTGTAACATCACAAATAAACATGTCAATTAATTCTTCAAATTTAAATAAAAGTTTCATGCTGTAACAATTCAAACATGCTTTGTTTGACTGAACAGCCAACCATTAGTACATTAGAGCACCACGTTCACGTTCACACAGTCCTCCAGCACATGTGAATAAGGTCCATTACAGCCGGACCACAGGCGAGTGGGATATGCAGGGACAATTCCTGTGACATGCACTACACCTAGCAAGCCGGCATGTTATAGTGATCCCATCTCTTTCAAAACAGCCTATTCAGCTGCTGTGACTCTAATTGGAGAGAATCCTCAACCATTGTCTCGAGCGCATTATATCATGCCTGTCTTTGCCTTTCTCTCTCCTCTCTCTTTCCTTTCTCTCTGTCAGTGTCTTCAATTGATCTGTGCACCTTTTCCCTGTATGAAATATGAAAGATTATCAACAGTTCCCAAGAATCTACATGCATTCATTCATTAATTCATTCAAGCATTCATTCATTCATTCACACATTCATTGATCTCTGTTACTACAGCAATACCTTTCACATCTGTTGGAAGTTTCCTTTCACTAAAGAGGCATTTCCCAATCACCTTGAGAATGGTGCACAAAGAATACTGCACTTCCACAAGTCAGACACAATGACTGTTGCATTGTATTGTGCATGCTGTCTTATACTCACTGTTCACTGTGCGATATCAATGACAGCTGCAATCTAAGCGCGAGCGCACAGCTGCTCCAATCATCCGATTCACTACAAGGAAGCTTCACTGGCCAAAATCAGCACTGGTCCGGCGAAACCCACATGAATATCCACCGCTGGCATCTTCAGAAACGCGATACTGTCCCGTATATCGATGACATTTTGATTTCCAGATATGTCCATTAGTAATAAAATGGCACGTTAAGGATTCAGCGGCGAGAGCAGCGGTGGTTGGTAGAGACCATTGTTCGAGAAAAGAGGGGGAGTTCGCTTCTGTCTTAAAGTTGCAGCTGTGCGATTTCCCAACAAATAGTATGCTCTCCATAGGTTTCTGTGTTTACACATGGAAATGATTTGTTTGTTTTATTTTTAAGCGAATAACATTTAGGAATAATTCAAATATTTAGGAAACGCAGTCTTCATTAGGTTACCCGACTCCACTAGAACATACCTGCATAAAAATATAAACATAAAAACGCTTAGGGCAAAAGTGAATGTTTCAGTGCGTGTTCGCATCAAATATTTACGGACAAGTCGGCAAATGTTAAAATGGTTTCGGTTCACAAACACAAAACTTTAGATTCTCGACCGCAGGGAACAAAATTATAGTCAATATTATACTATTAATACAATACAATACAATACAAATAGACACTATTGACAGAATTATTGGATAGATAGGTAGATAGATAGGTAGGTAGGTAGGTAGGTAGATAGATAGATAGATAGATAGATAGATAGAACCATTGACTCGTTCGAAGATTCACCAAAAGAAGGACATGTATCTCTTTCTTTCTCTTTCTCTCTTGCACTGGGGACTCACATAAATTATTTGCTTAATTAGTGTATATTTCACATTGTATATTGTATAAATCCCATTTTTTATGTTTTATTTAAATAAAGAAAAAAAAATGCCTTCGGGAGAATGTCGAATGGTTTGTGTGACTAAAATCCAGAATCCACAGCTGAGACCGTGAGCTGGCATTTATGCCTTTGCAGTGAGTATGGGGAACATAAAATCAATGTAGAAAATTGTGTAACAAATGTACTGACAAACCTCTCTTTATTCTCTTTCTCACCCTACTAGTTACTGATTTCCTTTTAACATATTTTGACATTTAATTGCATAAAAACTTTTGGTCACACTTTATTTTAAGGTTCAATTCTCGCTATTAACAAACCATTAACTACGACTTTTGCCTCAATAAACTCCTAATTTGCTGCTTATTAATAGTTGGTAAGGTAATTGTTAAGTTTAGGTTTTGGGTAGGATTAGGGATGTAGAATATGGTCATGCAGAATATGTGCTTTATAAGTACTAATAAACAGCCAGTATGTTAATAATAGGCATGCTAAGAAACAGGTTAATAGTAAGAATTTGTCCCTATATTAAAGTGTTTTTTAAAAAAAACTTTTTTTGTATGCATAAAAAACCTCTTAAATTACTTGAGCTTTACCACAAAAAAGAATAGATTAATTAATAATAATAATAATAATAGCTAATGTTGTGAGTTCTCTGTAGCATCCCACTGTCTCAGTACTTTTTGTCCACTTTGCAGAAAATGTAATTTGCTGAAATTTATTAGCGCAAAGCCTCTTGATAAAGTGTGGCTCTGGGGAGCACTGCACCACAGATCATAAAGCACCACAGAGTAATTAACAATTAAGCAAATATGTTAGGAGTTACTAACTACAGAAGGAAACAGCTAGATGCAGCTAGATGTTCTTTATGACGTGACGTGACGTGACATGACATGACATGACATGTGGCCAAGTATGGTGACCCATACTCGGAATTAGTGTTCTGCATTTACCCATCCAAAGTGCACACACACAGCAGTGAACACACACACACACACCGTGAACACACACCCGGAGCAGTGGGCAGCCATTTATGCTGCGGCGCCCGGGGAGCAGTTGGGGGTTTGGTGCCTTGCTCAAGGGCACCTCAGTCGTGGTATTGAAGGTGGGAGAGAGCGCTGTACATTCACTCCCCCCACCTACAATCCCTGCCGGTACAAGACTCGAACCCGCAACCTTTGGGTTATGAGTCCAACTCTCTAACCATTAGGCCATGACTTCCCCATGGACAGATGTTAAAGCAGCAGAATGACAATAGAGCTGTAGTGTGTGCAGTGTCAGTCCCGCAGGGGAGACCTTGAGGCTGACGGGGCTGTCGCTGTCCATGGTGCTGCTCCAGTGAGGAGCCAAGCACTGCTGTCCGTGCTCATAACAGTGAGAAAATGAGTGCATGCTCAGCCCCAATAACAGCCCACAAGCAAACATAAACCTGGCCATTTCAGTTATGTTTTAAAAGACTTTCTCCTTTCCTAGATTAATGTGCAAAGACAACTATGAGTAGTGGTGCTCATTTCAGCAGTCCAGCGTGTCAACTTCTGGCAAAACAATTCAACCAATGGCGAAACAATTATTTGTGAAATTGCATTCATGCTGCAAAAAAAAAATGCACCTTGTTTTTTAATCCACGCTAATTAATCAATGCATGTAATCTAGCTAAGTAGGACCTTGGTTAATGT